TTAGAAAAAACAGGCTCCAATACATCCAATTTCACAGAAAAGTGATGGAGGATTGTGGGAATTAGGGAAAAGGATAATGGTTGAGTAGAGAACGCTACCTAGCACTTGAATTAAAACATTTWAAAATATTAAAACTGTTTAACCTGCCTGTGAGAAATAATTTGCTAGATGCATACCTGTAACTCCTACTAGTATTTCTCATCCACATGTCAGTATGGTTTCATACACAGAAAATACGTGGAGAAGCCCAATTAAATTGATTGATATTTATACCCGAAGAACCACCTCCTGACTGAAAACGCATCCTGGTAAGAGAATATACTTTGAATACTGCCTAAATAGGAAACACTGATGGCAGAATAAAACACTCRCTCAGAATTCCTTCACTTTATAGCAAACTCTAGATAATACTGTTTACAAAGAAAAAGCATAGATTGATAATCTTTAATTGCAAATGAAAATAAAACCGTACGATTTACATGGAAAGTCACACATCTTTGCTGTAGAGATACATTTTTGAAGAAACTAGCACAGTTAGGGACTTGTGTGCACCGGAAGACCATACCAGCCTTCCCCATCCTCAGGCAGGTGCTTCAGACTGTCTCCTGTTACTGCTCACAAACGAGGCAGCACGGAAGAACCAGCTGTGAGAGCAAGCTGTGAGAAACCTCTCTCTCAAGCCTCCCTGCAAGGCTCAGGCCCCCGTGAGATGAACTGACTGTGCAACCTGCCACACAAACCAAAGAGTACAGGGGATTAAACTAAAGTGCTTTCTTCTGCCTCTGAACAGTTTTAACCAGAGTCTGGTTAAAAACAGTTTTAACCATAGTCTGGTCAAAAACAGTTTTAACCATAGTCTGGTCTGGAGACTTGAAACTGGCTTGCTTCCACAAGGCAGCAACTCAAAACGAGTTTCATTCAGCCCTCTGAGATGTGAATTACTGCCAGCTGCAGAAGCAGAAGATAAATGGTGTATCCTAGACCCAAGGAAAAAGAAGAAAATCATGGCTATGATGATTAGTCCTATTTTGAAAAAATCAAAACAGATTTCTGATTGCTTTTACACCAAACACTATCATTAGCATAGATAGTCTTCTCTCCTATATATCATTCAATCTTCATTATTCAATGCATATATAATAACCGTAGTCACAAAGCATGGTCCAAATAAAGTCAGATTAATTAAACATTGTATTATTTCTGGGGGAATGCAAAACACCCTAAAAACTCTGACTGTGCTTTGCAAGAAACACAAGAAGGGGAAAAATAGCTCTCTTGACTCATTAGATGCATTGTAAAATTAAAAAATACATTTCACATAACAATGTGTTCTTCCACAGGAAGAAAATCCACACTTTTCTTTACATAGTGTCTTCTAGCTGAGAAACTTTTGACTCCTAATTCTTTCTATGAGAAAGTGTTTTTCTGGTAGTGGTAATGGTTTCTCACAGAAACAGTGAATTTCAGCCTCAAACTATTGATTTTTATTTTTTTTTTTACAAAGAAGTCAGGATGTCACATCAAATTGATCTTACATTCCTCTTTTGTTCTACCAACATAATTTTTGAGCCCCAGCTAACAGTGCCGGTGTCACAGCTTCCCCTAACTTTGTAAGACCTCCTTTAGCAAACTGAGGCTAGAWAATATCAACCTGCTCTAAAATTATTAAATCTAAAAATAAGCAATCATCTTCATCATGTGTTGSATTAAACCTTCCTAGAGTTTATCGYGTTATTCATTTGAGAGCACCTGYRTYTGTTCGTTGGCTTGCAACCAGGGCTCTGTCAGAGAAGATTATCAGAAAGAACCTCTCATTACTGCTCTCTTGAAGGATTGTCACTAGAGGCTTAAATGAAACTTCATTCAGTCCTAGCTGTGGCAGGGCAGTTCAAGTCAGAACCACCTGCAAGATCTATAACAASGAATCACAACGACCTATGTGCTTTAATGGTGTATTTCTGTTCACCTGTTGCATCACAATGACATTATTTGTTCAGGCTGCTTTGGAGGCTGCTTCCATGAAGTCTTTTCCATTCTTCTCTTTCCCTATTAAATGAGGTCCCTTATCCTAACTACTTTGAATGGGGCTTCAAGGCATGAAAATAAACTGTTTCCAGGTGATAACTGCAGCTGCCAAGTCACAAAACAGGCTTAAGTCCTGCTACTCCCCTCTGAAAAAAAGCTGAAGCAGGAGGGAAAAATATGAGAGCTAGGGAAATACTGATGGATGAGGTCCAATATYCCTGACTATTCACTCTCCATGAAGGTTTATGGCAACACCTTTGAAATGGRTGGCAGGACAGAGGCGAATTCAAATGTCTATGCACGTGATACATAAAAGCAAAAAAAATGAGGTGAGTTATTTCAGGGAGGTCGTGCAGCTCCTACAACCATCATGTGAATGGGCTCAAATAGATAATTCAGAATATAAGGTGATTTAGGATCAGGTGATTCTACAGCTCAGAGAAGCAATTACTGGCATATTTACATATTGTGTTTATCAAGGACATATAAGGATCAGTAATGATCTGTGTTCAGTAACTTTGATACCTACTTGAACATATTTGAGTGTTCTCCAACACTCAAAGGGGGAATGAAAATAAAGAATATTAAGAGCTGAGGAAAATTCAGCACCAATATACCATACGTTAACCCAATATGAAATGTCAGGAAAGAAGAATTACTTGGACAATGTTCTTAGTGTGCCTGATCAAGCACACACAAAGAAAATACCACAGATGCTAGAGAGAGAAAAGCACTAATTCCTTTTCCTGCCCCACCCTCCCCCTCCTCCACAAAAAATATAAGACCCCCGTAATATACACACTCCTTTGTCTCAACAGGGTTCTAACATTCTTCTAGACACTGCCAGCACCAGATGTAAGGTGAATAGCAATGGAAACTACTTCTGAATATCTCTTTTATGGGTTTTAAATTTTTTCCTTGGTATTTTTTTTACTGTGGGGGGAGGTGTTGGAAAGGCACATCTACAAAATGCATTAAAGTCAGTACCAAGAACATATACTATCAAATCAGGAGASAGAGCATTAAAAACCAGTAAAGGATATGTGTATTCTTAAAGTATGCTCTTGGGCTCAATTACACCTCATACAGCAAGTTCCATAATTTCACTTTATACAGGAGTGAAATTTACCCTCATATACATATACATACATACATACATATATATATATATATATATGCATAAAAGATGCATGCACAGTATATTAGACAGGAATTCGTAATAATTCAGAAGGATGAAGTTATTATGCATTGGTATATCTTCTGACAAAGAAACCAGAAGACATTATTCCCTGTCAGTTTATGTTGGAGGCCCAGGTATATACAGGAATTTTTCTTCCTGCACTCCAGGAAGAGTTATTTCTAGAGATTAACTCCTATGGTGGAAAGTCCATCCGTTTTACTTAGATGGCTTTTACCATATCCTTTTCATACATTTGTAGTTTATTCCTGGTACACAAAAACTTTAAAAGGGTACTAACTGCCACCTGGGAGGAAACATTTGGGTTTGCATTGATATATATGTGGATATTTATAGAATACATTTATTTGAGGAAAATATATTCTTGTATTAAGTGAACTTTTGGACCTGGAATTGGTTATCCCCTAGCACAGCTGGAGGTGTTCAGCAATACTTGCAAATCACATTACAGGCTAATGTCAACACTTATACATCCAGCCATAATTTGTTCAGGACCTGAAAAAATGCTCAGYAATTCTCTTCTTCATGAAAACAGTCTCAGTAATTCTCTTCTGCAAGAGTCAGGCTCACACACTGTGCCTCTGTCATTTGGAGGCCATGATTTGATATGTGAAGGTTTTACAGGGAACACAGGCGAGGCACAGGGAAATCCTAGCAAAAAACAGACCTCTTAAAAAGTGCTGGTTTCCTCCTCTGCTCATGGAGTCTTTATAATGTGTCTGTCAATTTCTCAAAAAACAGCCAATTATGTAAAGATTATCAGTTCCCAAATTCGTGTTTTCTTATGATGCCTGGCAGGGGAATGGCAACAGTTTCTTCAAGCTTTTCCAAGTTAGCCTTGAGGGGCTTGTTTACCATCTCTCCACGGTTCTGTTTAAAATAAATTACAAATAATTGCCATGAATTCAAACATGCATGACAGAGCCCTAAATACTTGTTAAAAAATGTAATGTTCTGGAAAATATTATAATGGCATGTTCATGCAAAAGCACATAGCAATTTGAAAGGCGGCATGGATGTATTAATTTCATATTTAATGAAGTTTTGAAAACAATGATACAATTTTCTGGCTGCAATGTGGTATAGAGGGAATCTACTGTCAACCCATGAAGAACCATCTTGAGGCAAATATTCTTTCCCTAGGATAAGATTCACTCCAGGATTGATTTTTAAGATGACATTAACTAAAGATGAAAGTAAGGAATTGTCACATATACAAAAATATTCCATGAATTTTCTGTTTTGAAAATTGAAGAAGGGGGAAATATTTTGTAAAGGTCAGCATCTTATGAAATTATGTGCATACTTTTAGACATATAAATTTTCTACATTTCCAAACAAAGCCAAAGAAAGTGTTAAGATGATTAGAAGTAAATCATTAGAACAGTAGGCATTTTATCATTTTAGAGACATGAAAATAATGAGGCCAAAAATCCCATTAGATATGGCAAGTTTTGCTCCTTTTTTTTCTTTTTTTTAAATTTGTGAGTACAGTGAAAGGTATCCTAATTGCTAAATTACAGAATACAGCAGAACTGTCCTGATTGTGAACATAAATGTCACAGTCAGATGGAAGTGAGAGATATTTTAGGTACTCAGGTAACAATTCAAATCACCATAGACAGCAAATCCTCAAGTGTCAGAGCTAGGAAAGAAAAGCTTAAATAGTGAGTCATGCCCACAGTTATCCTGATCCTACTTTAAAAAGGRCTACGTGACCCTAATGCTGTGAAAAATTAAAACATCCAGTGTGTGAAAACAGATGAGGAACCAGTAACTTGTCGTATGGTTGTTTCAAATTCTTCCTTTAGAGAAAATGAAYAGCCAATATATGCGTCATGAAGTGCGGGGCTGTGAGACCAGYGACCTGAGGAACTTCTGGGAAAAGACCATTGAACAACAAACTCAGTATGTGGAAAATGAAAAAGAACGTCAGCGAAGAAGTGCTCTGACAAAGTGGGTAATCTGCATCCAGAAAGGTTACTTGAGTTTGCATTGTAATTTTTTTTAAGAAGTAATACCTATACTTAAGTCAGGCAATGAAAAATTAAACTAATTTATATTTATAGAAAATAATAAAGCTTCCCAAATTAGGATGCTAATGGTAATGTGTCTAAGCTATGACTTCATATGATGGGAAAATAATTCATTCTTGTTCCATAAATGAGACCAAAGCATAAAACTTTCTGAAGTTATTAGGACARCATTTAATAATGCAGACTTGTCTTGAGCTTAAAGGCTTATGTTTAGAGCAAAGCTAACACAGATGTGTACCTGGCCCACATTCTTTCTCTGTGGCCTTTTTTTCACAAGAAAAATAATTTGAATTATTTAGGATTGCTCAATCTGTGTGGGATAAATCCATTATAACGCAGATAGTCCAAGCACACTGACCAAGGCAGCCACCACTCACACCCATACCCACCCCATTCAGCCACATTCACCTCCATCAGTCACTAGCAGAAAGTGCAGTCTGCAGCAAGATCAGCACAGTTTTCCTTTGCATGAACTCTCCATAAGTTGAAGGCACATGCAAAGACATATTCTTTGTTATTTATTATAGTCATTTTGTCTTGAGTTCATTCAGAAAGAAAGCAATTTTCCAAAGTCTCCCTCATACTTCTCTGTGCATTGATACTAGAAAATTAAGAGCAAGGATGGGCCTACATTACTAACCTTGGGAAAAGGAGCACTGGAATTTGTCTCTAGCGTGTTGTACCTGTTGTAATCTCAATGTTCCAGCTTCTCAGTTGGGAAACTCCTCCTTTTTCTACTTGAGAAAGTCTTTCTGTGGTACCTGGTACTATCAAAAASAAAACAAAGGACCACCTATCACTGCTCTGGGTCTAACAGAAGGTTCAATAGTGCAGAGTCTCCAAGACAAATAGGGCAGAGGAGAAGGGAGGCTGGGGAAGTGTTGGGTTGTGCGACCCAGCAGATGGCAGCAGGCAATCTCCAGTGCAGGTGAYAAGTCACTCTGGCACACAGGCACTGGACAGAGGGCACACTGGAGATGAAGATGAGCCACAAAGCTCCGGTGAACCCTCATTGGGATTTAAGATCTTCTGCTGAAGTGCCATCCAGCAAAGTACTCAAAAGGGATAGGAAACTTTGCATGACAACTGGGAAAAARCACCAAAGGATATCATCAGTGGAAAACATGAAGAGTATAAATCTGTTCCCTGTAAAAATATGGGGACAAGCTGATCCATGTTTCTGTCCCTAGGCTCAGAAATGAATGGATGGAGAGGCTGGAAAAACGGATAAAGATGTTGAGGACCCAACCTGAAGACCCATCCAGCTGAAGAGTCCACACTCACTACGAGTTTGAGGGGATAAGAAATTTGTTTTCTAGGAGAGCTTAATGCAAAGGCTGAAGTCAATTTCACTTTGTAGCTTAAATGAGCTGTAATTAATTAGCTGCYATTGTTAGAAGTTTAATATGTGAAATGTCAATTGTTGCTTTTAAGATTATGCATCCGTTCCTTCATTTGATAAATGGAGAATGTAGTACTCTGAAGTATTTAACACTAATAAATCATGGTTCATGAGATGTAGATGCCTGRAAAAAGAGTTTAGTTACACAGTTATGCTCTCCAAAAGCATTTCCTCAATATTTTAGTTTCTGTATTGACTGATGGTAATCTAATGAATTTAGATGKTTTAATGAATAGTTGAGATTATAAATTTTTACACAGCACAGTCCAGCTCAGACTAAGAAAGATGGGATATGCACAATGCCYCCACATCCCACATCACTAGTGAAGGGGCTACAGATCCTAGCTGCCATGTTAGAAGTTGCCTGTGGAGTTGTTAATATATATACAGATAAACAGTCTCTGGGAGACACCTACAAGAGCTGCCTCATTAACCCACAGAAACTCAGACAACCCATATTCGCTTACTTGAGACATTATATCAGCAAAGTTAGAACAGCTTTAAATTTTGAGGCTGTTTCTGGTACCTGATCTGGCTTGTCTAGGAGTGGATTGATATCTCTGTTTCATAGAGGAGCTCGGAGCACTTTCACAGCTGTCTGTCATCATGAGTGATAAGCACATTTTCTCTTCTAGCACTTTTTCCCTTCTAAGTCACAGTATTTGTTTCTTAAAAACCAGTACTTTCAGAATCTAGCAGTTTTCCTCTCCCACATTTGTCATTAGTCAAAAATGTTTCTAGTTCCCTTCCTAATGTTTCATTAGGAAATGTGGCATTTCCTCCAACAATATCAAAGCATTTCAATGGGATGGTGTAATCAAATCACTTCCTTTCTAGGGTGACTGCTTTGTTGCCACCAGAATGATTAGGGTAATGTACTGCAAGATGGGTTGTTTTGAGCATGCTAAAAAACTCTTCTTTGAATCACTTAACCTTTTAGTCCCTTTTTATAAGCTGTTTCACTACTTCTCTGGAAATTCATATTGTTTCAAAACAAGGAAGATCTGAATTGCCAGTGGGGCTAAAAGAGAATAACAGAAGAGTTTGGAGTTTTAAAATATTTAGAAAATCTGCTGTTTGTAAATATAAACAAAAATTTGAAGTGCCATTTTCCCCCCTTTTTATCTATCACCCTTTAAAACCACTTTTGTGTGTCTCAAGGACAAACAAAATTTATTGCGGCAATTGAAATATGTAAATAATGTTTGGAAAGCCTGAGAAACTCTTAAAGTCAT